AAAATTTTTGATCTTCCTCAGCTTTTAAATGCTGAAGGAAAATGAAGCAAATGGGAAAGAAGATAATATTTGCAGATTCAAGTCGCATTGAACTTGTGGAAGGTGAACTTTTACTTCTAAGCATTGCAAAGATCAAATTCAAAGCTGGTTAAAATGTAATTCCATGTTACTCTTCTAAGACCAAAATATTTTTCAGTGTTAGATCAAATAATTTATAGGTGTGAACATTTAGATCAAACATAAACATGTTCTTCAGTTTCTTTCCTGGAATTAGAACATTGTGGATTGCATTCCAGTGACTTAAGTGTGTTATCTAGGCTACCAATGTTAGTGCTGGTACTGAAAGAGTGCTGCATTTTCAAAGGCATCATCTTTCAGATGAGATGTTAAGCCCCCATTTATCCTCTCATGCACATGTAAATATTCCAGGTACCAGGTCAAAGAAGAGCAGTAATGTTACACCTAACTCCTGGACAATATTTCTCCCTCAATGAATTTCACAAAGGCAGATAATTTGATGATTAGCATATTGCTGCTTGAAGTTTACAAATTGGCTGCCATAATTTCCAGCATTATGCCAGTGCTTACACTTCGAAAAGGTATTAATTGTTTATAAGGTGCTTTGGAAGGTTCTGAGGTTGTGAAAAGTACTTTGCAAATGTAACATTTCCTTATGTTATGTTTATAGAGAAACAGTGGTGTTAAAATTAAATAGTAAAGTTATACTTGATGTGAGTTTGCCTTCAGCAAGGTGGTTTACTCGATGTGGCAATGCTTATGTTATTGTCATAACATAAGAAATTGAGCATAACGTGGTATTGAAGGATCCAACAGACATTTATTCTATTGCAAAAATAAAATTCACAGCTCAAAACTGTCTGGGCTAATGTTAAACTAATAGTTTACACCAGAGCAGCATGCTTACAATACCATGGCATGCTTCAGGTGATCCTGGACTATGATAGGATATGAGGACTTTATACCCTCAGGTCACATGCTACAACACAGTGATGATGTCATCAGCACTATACTACTAAAAGTATAGTATCACACTCACTGTGTGAAATAACCGAGCATTCCCCATTTTTCAAAAATAAAAACATTCTCCAAAACAGACATACACAGTTGTATACAGACATGGATAGGACATTGTGAGGCTGTAGAGGCTTCCTCTGCTGCTGGGATTGATATGTTTAGCATGTCTCACATACATTCATGGGTCATTGACAATCTTCATTTATCTCTGGTTAGTGCACAGATTGAGGTGCTAGTCATCCTGCACATTCAATACGTGTACCTGATGTAACACAGGCATAATAACCATGGTAATTGGCATATTTGGTATTAGGACTTGTTTGTCCTTGAGCATGGCCTGTTGCAATATACCAAGTTCATCTGTGTATGGCCAAAAAGAATAAAGCTTCTCAAGATCTTCTTTAATCCTGTCAGGCCATCCTTGGACAATGATCTTTTGTGACACTTGCAGGTGATCATCTTTGGCCATTGTCAATTGCAATTGTTCACACTGTCTCTGGCTAAGGTGCAACAGATCAGCCTTGAGATGTCATCACTTTGTAGTCAAGAGCATCAATGTATAGATCATAAGGAATATTTTGAACTTTGGCCAGGTTAAGTAATCTGCTCAGCATATCAGATGTAAGCATCCTTGTACCTGGCTTATATCTCACTTAAAGTCATATCCTTGGAAATCTTTGACTGATTTGATTGTGTCATGTATGGTATGTTGCTGCGTCGTGTAGCTTGAACATCATGAATTGGGACTATACCGAGTTCTGGGCACACTGTTGTCTTTGCACTGTTGGACCATAGGTATCTGCCAGGTAGAAGAATTCAGGAAGGCGAGGTGAGCTTGTGTATTGGTATTGTAGTGTGATTCTGCCAATGCATGGAGTTGACAATCTGATACACACTGTGAATAGTCTCTTATATTTAGAATCATAATTATAGAGTTGTGCAGCATGGAAACTGACCCTTTGGTTCAACATGTCCATGCCAACCAGATATCTTAAATTAATCTAGCAATTGGCCCATATCCCTCTAAACCCTTCCTGTTCATGTACGCATCCAGATGCCTTTTAAGTGTTGTAATTGTACTTCACTACTTCCTCTGGCAGCTCATTCCATACACACATGACCCTCTGCATGAAAAAGTTGCCCCTTAAGTCCCTTTTACATAAAGGCCTTGGCTATTCACCCTATCAATGCCCCTCATTGATTTTATAAACCTCTACAAGGTCAGCCCTTGGCCTCCGAAACTCCTGGAAAAATAGCCCCAGCCTATGCAGCCTCTCCCTACAGCTCAAACTCTCCAACCGCGGCAACATCCTTGTACATCTTTTCTGCACCCTTCCAAGTTTAACAACACTTTTCCTACTGCAGGGAGACCAGAATTGAATGCAATATTCCAAAAGTGGCCTAACCAATGTCCTGTTCAGCCGCAACATGACCTCCCAACTCCTCTACTCAACGCACTGACCAATAAAGGTATATGTTGTACAATGTAGTGCCACTTCCTAAGGTAGATGTCCTTCAGGATACATACTGGTAATATGTTGGTACCGGCTCCCATATTGATTTTGGCTTGTAGTGTGTGTTGTCCTTCCTGTTCAGGACATGTGATATTAATGGTTGTTTATTAAAGCCTCTGATCATCTTATAACATCGACATACTTATGTGAGGTTAACTATATAGAAAGCCTGGTCATCTTCTGAAATTTGTCTTTCCTTGCACTTGCACTTCCTTGAACTGAGTTATTAGGTTTAAGTCTGTATTCAGTTACTTCATCATTCAATTCACAGAATATAATTTCCTCACCACAAGGTCTATTTGCAGGTTAACTCTGAACTTCATCCATGTTCTTGCTTTTGTGCATCTTCTTAACACTTTCCTTGCTGTTGTGTTTATACCATCTTGTTGGTCACTTGGGGTCTGACTTGGCCTTTGGTGCCATATCTCCTGCTCATAGGTGCTCAAATCCCTATGTATAGATCTATATGACTGTCTGCACTCATGGAAACTGATGCTGCAGGTTGTTCAAATTCCCCGATGTTCAAAGCTGTTGTCTGGTTGGTCTTCAATTAGTTTTCCATCCATTTACCCCAAGACAATGGAGTAACTTGTACATGTCCACCGCTGGATTGATGATGTATTTTGCCTGCAGCAGGGATTTTTAGAAGGAACTAAGCATCAATATTATGTTATTGAAGAATCCACAGGTCTTCATTACAGCTAACATGTATTACATGTATTCATCATCTACATATACTAACACTTTTACAGCTCGTGTGAACATTATATTCCTCAGATGTCTGGGCTAAAAGATCGCAACAGCGCAGTATGCTTTCAATAGCATGTCATGCTTCAGCAATCCTGGTAAGATGGAGTATGAGGTCTTTATACCTATCATAAGCATGTCATGAAGGGCATATTGACACAGCAATAGTTACATTGTTTTGCAGTATTGGAGCTGGAAATGAACAGGCTAAGGATGGTGCAACTGCAAATCAACATCTCTGGTTCAGGAAAAAAAACCTGTGAAGTCCCATTCCTGAAGGCAGTAGATTTTTTTTCGTAATACTCTTTTATCTTATCTTGGCCTCACTCAATCTTTATTTCCGTCTCTTCATTCCCTTTCCAGTGCTTCGACTCTAATTCACTTTCTTCTTCACTCTTTCTTCCTCGTTGCTGCTTCTTTCTCCTTAGTTTTCATGGGTTATGGAGAAAGACTATGTCCGCTGCCATTTACCGAGGTACCAAATGTCCTGTTATCAGCTTGCAATTCCTTGAACTGAATTATTAGGCTTAACTCTATATTCAGTTACTGCATCAACCCTCAATTCACAGAATACAATTTCCTCGCCATAAGGTCTATTTGCAGTTTAATTAGAGTATAATTTTTTTTTTAGCAAATTCCGACATTTTTAGCTTTACTTCCAATTCAGTCATGGGATGCAAACCCAACAGTTCTGAAGCAGAACAGTCGTAGTCCACTTGAGGTGTTACCTCTGATTCTCTCTCTCTAAAGATAGTTCTGTCTCTATCGATGCTTCCAGAGCCCGCTGAGCATTTCCAGCCCTTGCTGTTTTTTTTTTGGCCCACCCTAGACTTCCAGCACATTCAGTACTTAAGCTATCATTTAACAATTCTGATCAAAATCTCTGTTGACTCTCGGTCGTAAAGGTGGAGTCTGCTGCTCTCTGGTGGTCACTCCGCGAAGCGACACAACTTCACTAATTCGCTCCTTGCAGTTTAAATTCTCTCTCTGCCACGTCGACTTCGGGACGTAAGAAACCACATTCCAAGAGGCAGAAACTCGGCAAAATGTAACGGTATCCCTTTTCCTGTAATGCCTTTGAAAATGTTCTTTCCGCTTGTTTGTTTTGTACGCAGGCAAAAGTAGACAGCTCTGGGAGAAAGCTGTAACTGTCCGGAATGTTAACGGAACGGTAATAGAGAGAGACAGTGCTTAAAGAAAATACATTTAGGCCATGATTTGTAAAGAACCGAATATTTTCAGCAAAAAAAACCCTGATCTATTCGTCCTTTCGAAGTAGACGGTGTGTTGCAAAACTCGGCAGAGTGAGACTTCCGTCTAATTTGATGCAATATTCCAATACTTCTGAAGTTTTCAGTAGTTTGTAATTTCGAGCAAAGCAAAAGTATGGAGAGTATTGTTTTTTTTAACACGAGGGTATAATCATGCGAGGATGGGATAGTGAAAGTTGTACACAAATGGATTTGTTGCAAACTTTATTGTTGAAAATAACGCAGCGGAAAAGATGAAGCTTTGTGTCTCTGTGTGTTTTTGGCAATGTATCCATTCCTGGCCCTTTAGTTTTACTAATTTAGGAAGTGGAATCCAGCCCGTGTTCTTTGTTGATGCCGCTGTAATTTGGAAATGAAAATTTATTTTGCATTGATGTGTATGTAAACGACAGATAGTTCTGACCCATTCGTCCCCCAGTCTGGCCAGAGAATGATGGCTGTACATGAGGTTGCGTTGCTGGATGGGGCTTTCGCTTCTCTGGCATCTCGCCTCGTTCTGCCTGACCCTGCACTGGGAGCAGGTGGATCAAGGGGGGCATCACATCGGAGCCGAATTTCCGTGGCGGAAATCGTTGAAATTACTGCCGTCTCTACACTGGCATCGAAGACTGAAATGGGTGATAACAACAACTGTGTGCATCCTAGGATATCAAAGGAAGTAGCTACAGGGACAGTACATGCACTGGTTGTAATCTTCCAGGAATCATTGGAGTTGGGAAAAGTTCCAGAGAAGTGGACTGCCAATATAACACCGTATTTAAAAGGGAAAGAGACAAAAAAAAGGGTCTGTAGAGGCAAGTTAGCTTAATATCTTCCATTGAGAAAATGTTTGAGTCCGTTGTGAAGGATGCAATAGCAGAATGCGAGGGCCAGTCCAATATGAGTGCTGTACTGTCTGAGAGTGCTGAGGGAATGTTACAATATCCAAGGGTTCGTGCAATGACAGAAATTAAACTCACTTGCCTATTGTTGACAGATTATTTGTCTCCTTCCCTTTTGAATCAGAAGTTACATAGGCAGTTTTACATTTCTATGGAACTTGTCCCAATTCTAAGCCATCCTGGAAGATTGCTACCAGTGCATCCACTATCTCTATAGCTGCTTCCCAGGATACATTCTAACACGTGCAGGGAACTTATTGGCCTTTAGCCCCATTAGTTATCCTCCTGGCAGTTATTGTATTTATTTCCTCTCCTGCTTTTGGCCCTTGATTATTTAGTAATTTTGGGATGCTATTAGTGTCTTCTACTTTGAAGACTGATGCAAAGTGTTCATTCAACTCCTCTGCAATTTCTTCGTTCCCCATTATTTGTTCCCCAGCCTCATTCTTTAAGGGGTCTATGTTCAGTTTGGCATCTCTTGCTTACATTTTTATATTAGGTGCTGGTTTACCCTCAAAGTGTGTTTTTCTCCCTTTTTTAGTCATCTTTCGTTGGCTTTTAAAACTTTCCAAATCCTCTGGCTTACCACTAACCTTTCTCACAATGTATATTTTTTTTCTTTCAGTTTGATGCTATCCTTAACTTCTTTGGTTAGCCCATGTTTCGTTTATCCTCTTCCTAGAATTCTTCTTCACTTCTCAATTATGTCTTTGCTGTGCATCATGAAGTATTTTCTTTAAACATCTGGCCTTGTTCATCAACTGTCTTTTCTGCTAAACACCTTTCCTAGTACACTCCAGCTAATTCTGCCCTTATTCCTTTGTAATTACCCTTATTCAAGTTTATTACAGCTGTTTACAACTGAAGTTTCACTCTCTCAAAGTGAATACTAAATTTTACCGTTTTATGGTCACTATTTCTTAGGTGATCTTTTACTGTTAGATCATTTATTCAATCTGCCTCATTACACATAACCATATCCAAAATAGCCTTATCACTGGTTGGATACACCACATATTGTTCTGGGACACTGTCACAAACTCACTATATGAATTCTTCCTCAGACTTTCTCTACCAATCTGACTATCCCAAGCTCAATGAAGATTAGTCTTGCCTATGAATAAGAACTGCCTTTTTTTCATGCCCTCATTATCTCCTGAATTATTCTCTGTCCTACTGAGTAGCTACAGTTAGGGGGCCTGTAGAATACTACCAGTGTCTTCTTCCCCTTTTTATTTCATACCTCCGCCCAGATGGAACCTGCATCATCTATCCTAGATGATTTCTTGCTTTTATACTTATTCCATCCCATGCCAACAATGCTACCCCATGCCCTTTTGAAAAGTCACATGCCTCTGAATAATAGTTCTCTGCTTGATCTCCTTGTAACCATGTTTTCGTAACGCCCATTAATCTGTATTTGTGTGGTTAATTCATTTCTTATGTTCTGAACACTACATGCATTTAAATGAAAAGCAATTAAATCTGTTTTATTTTTACCAATTTTTGCTCCATTGACCCTATTTCCTAGTATTTCTCGATGCTTGTTTCTTGATGATTTCTGTTACATTCTGGGTATCTTTATCCAAAATAGCTGCCTTGTAATGATACCATATCCTATTGCTTTGTAAGCTTACACTGCCTCTCGCCCAACCTTCCCCCCCCCCACCCCGCAATTAGTTTAAAGCCCTCTCTACAGCCCTAGTTATTCCATTCACCAGGACACATGTCCCATTGTGGTTCAAGTGGAGCTCATTCCACCAGAATAGCTCCCTTCTACTCTAGTAGTGGTGCCAGTGTCCCTTGAACTGATCCATTCTACCTACACTAATCTTTGAGCCAGGCATTTAACTCCTTGGCTTTATTTACGCGTTGCGATTTTATCTATGGCTCAGAATATGATCCCGAGATTATTTATTTGGAGGTTTAATTTAGCTTTTCATGGTTCACATGCTTTCAACTGAGTCTCCTTTCTAGGCTGATCAATGATACCAGTACCAATATGAATGATGCCACCCCATGTTCTTCTCCAGCTTGAGGAGATGTCCTTAACCCTTAAACCTTCAGTCTTTGGCACTCGCACACGTGGTTGCAGAGAATAGTATCTATCCTCCTAATTATACTTCTGCTACATGAATTTAATCCCCCAATCTCCATTTTGTAGTTTATAGTATACCATATTATCTTTGAATGAATGAATGTGCTATTTCTGTTTTTCTGTCCTCTTCTTTGTCAAAAAATGATATTTGTACATAATTGTTTAAAACTAACAGTTTCAGCCTCAGCCACCAGATGTTTGCATCTGGTAACAATTACCAGTCATTAATCATCAAATTGAAATGACTAAATCAATCAATCCTTCATGCTGAATTAGCCCACGTATCATTGTGCTAACTAGTGCACTTAAATGGGTTTCTATGGAAACTATAATCTCGCTATTCAGCAATAGCAGGATGATGGACGTTACGTCATATCAATATTCATTGATTCCACTGCCAGTAATGAATTTGCTAATTTTAATTATGCACTGTGTCTCTCTGTTTTGTTCACTGTAGGTTTTGATGCAATTCTGGATATCAAATTCAGTAGTTACCTTGACTACAAACCTCTTTGATGTACCTCTAGAGGCTTCTAGTGGTTCATAACACGTCACTTACTAATCTTCATTTTCCCTTGTGTTCGATTGCTGTCAGCACAGAGCAGCTGAAGGTAAAGAGCAATAAGTCACAGTACTGCGCTTGGTAAAGTGGATATACAATTGGAAATTGCACTCTGATTCTGAGTATTAATGTTGTGTACTGTTGATCCTTTCCCAGAGAAAGATTGCATGCTCTACAAGACACCAGGCTGCTGATGTATTTTCAAGAATTATGTGGCATTGTTCTCACAGGGAGATGGGTGAGTGCCCAAGTTGAACATCACTTGGGCTTCTTTCACTGTGTCTGACTTTGTTAAATTCCACCATGTAGCCTTTTAACCCTAATAACTATACAATATTTTACGACAAAACTTGTTAAAAGATTTACCGTATAAGCTGAACACTTTTCTTTTGGATTCTGAAAAATGCTACTATCATTATTTTAGGGTTTTATTAAAGCTGATACTAGGTAGGATAGCATAGTGGTTCTGATATTGGCATAGTAGCCTAGGGATCTGGACAAATAACTTGCTGACTGAGTTCAAATCCTACAGTGCTAGCTGGTAAAGCTAATTAAAATAAATCCAAAATGAAACATTAGTAATGGTGACTATGATGCTTTTTTGTTCATTTTTGGGATGTGAGCATTACTGACTAGGTCAGCATTTATTGCCCATCCCTATAATTGCCCAGGAGGCAGTTAACACTCAAGGTAGAAGTCATATGTTGTAAGAACAGCAGATTCTCTCCGTAAAGGACATTAGTGAGCAAGATGGGTTTTTTCCCCTGACAATCAACAACAGTTTCACGGGAGCAAAAAAGACCTTGAGCTTCCAGTTAGAGATAGTAGGAACTGCAAATGCTGGAGAATCCGAGACAACAAGGTGCAGGGCTGGATGAACACAGCAGGCCAAGCAGCATCATAGGAGCAGAGAGGCTGACGTTTCGGGCCTAGACCCTTCATCAGAAAAGGGGGAGGGGAAGGGGGTTTTGAAATAAATAGGGAGAGAGTGGGAGGCGGATAGAAGAGGGATAGAGGAGAGGATAGGTGGAGAGGAAACAAACAGGTCGAAGAGGCGGGGATGGAGCCAGTAAAGGTGAGTGTAGGTAGGGAGTTAGGAAGGGGATAGGTCAGTCCAGGGAGGACGGACAGGTTAAGGGGGTGGGATGAGGTTGGTCGGTAGGAGATGGAGGTGCGGCTTGAGGTGGGAGGAGGGGATAGGTGGGAGGAAGAACAGGTTAGGGAGGCAGGGACGAGCTGGACTGGTTTTGGGATGCGGTAGGGGGAGGGGAGATTTTGAAACTTGTGAAATCCACATTGATACCATTGGGCTGCAGGGTTCCTAACTCCCTACCTACACTCACCTTTACTGGCTCCATCCCCGCCTCTTCGACCTGTTTGTTTCCTCTCCACCTATCCTCTCCTCTATCCCTCTTCTATCCGCCTCCCACTCTCTCCCTATTTATTTCAAAACCCCCTTCCCCTCCCCCTTTTCTGATGAAGGGTCTAGGCCCGAAACGTCAGCCTCTCTGCTCCTATGATGCTGCTTGGCCTGCTGTGTTCATCCAGCCCTGCACCTTGAGCTTCCAGTTGCCTGCCACTTCAACAAAACACCCTGTTCCCTGGCCAAGATCTCTGTCTCAGGCTTGCTGAGGTGCTTCAGTGAAGCTCAGTACAAGCTGGAAGAACAGCACCTTATTTTCCCCTTGGGAACTCTACAACCTTCTGGACTCAATACTGAGTTCAACAATTTTAGGGCTTGAAGCACCTTCTCCCATGTCCTTACCCCAACTGCCATACACCTGGGCTTGTTATCACATGGTCTGGTATTATATGTGACCCATTGTTAACCACTGAATGTCTCCATTCACAGCCATTCACTCTCCTAGGCTGATCGTTGTCCACTTCTTTATCTGTTCAAATGTTCTTCTCTCTCTTTGGGCTATATCATCACCTATCATATACTCCTTACTCCTCTGCCCACCCTATTTTCTGCGCAAAAAAAAACCTAGCTACCATCGGTTCTGAAGAAAGGACACTGGACCTGAAAAGTCAATCCTGATTTCTCTCTACAGATGCTGCCAGACCTGCTGAGCTTTTCCAGCAATTTCGGCTTTTGTTACAGTTTCACAGTCATCATAACACTGTTAATTCCAGTTTTTTATTGAATTCAAACTTCACCATCAGCCGTGATTGGATTCTAACCTGGGTCCCCAGAACATTACCCGTGTCTCTGGAATAATAGTCTTGTGATAATCTGCTAGGCTAAGATCTGTCCTGTCAGATGCTACCAGATTGTCTGTAGCAATAAATCTGACATCCTTATCTAGTTTGGCCCACACATGACTCTAAACCCACAACAATGTCATTGACTCTGTCAGAACTGGCTGAGCAAGCTACTCAGTTGTATTTAAAAAAGAAGCTTATCAGCACCTTCTTGAGAGAAGTTAGTAACAGTAAATGAATCCTGGCCTTGTCAATGAGGCGCACATCATCAGAAGAGGACAAAAAATGTTCTGGTAAAAATCCTGCATGTGTTTTGCTGGGAGCAATAGATTAGATCTGTGCTTTTAAAAGAAGGATGGATTACATTGGGAAAAAGTATGTACAAAGCACTGTCATTCACCTACAGGTGCAAAGTGGCAATGAGTTGATACTTTGCATTTCTGATGTTGCACAATAAGTCTTGGACAATTTCATACAAAACTCCTGCCTGTAACTTGGGTGGATAAGGTAGCTGCATTTGGAACTATATTATTCAACTGGGCTATATTATTTAATGTTCACTGCCAGAGCCGCAGGGAGGACTAGCAGAAGGATGCTTCTGCAGAAGGTTCTGATTTCAAGTTAATAGTTTGGTGAGGAATGGAAACACTAATGCCATCCTACTGCAGTTTCTCTTGTCCCTGAGAAGTATGAGTGATGATTGGCTCACTCACTTTGGAAAGGACGCCTGGAAAATTGTTAAAACACATCAATGTTATGTGACCTGTGAGATTTGTCTGTGGAGATTGTTGACCTCAGAGTGGTCTCTCCCTTTTGGAGCCTGAGGTGTGAGACCTCTAACACTGGATGTGCTTTATTTAGCAGGCACTATATTATAGCAGTGAAGAAAGACGTGCGCTGCAGACCATTGCAATGATTGTGCAGATTGTACCTTGCAATGTTCTAGTTTATTTGGTGGGCAATCCAAAAATGTGTGATACGACACTAGCAGCAGCAGCAGTTAGATGGGATGTTTGCACTATATATAGGTAAAGTCACTATAGTCCCAGTGGACCACTGTCTCATTGTAGAGATACAAATGGTGGTGGGTTTAAATTGAGGGTCACCACACCTCAAGTGAGGGGAACAGTTGAGAAGGCAGGCCCTTCATGGTAACCTCAGCCAGTGTAGAAATTTAACCCATGACGTTGGCATCACTCTGCATCGCAAATCAGCCATCCAGCCAAATGAGCTAACATCTTGTGAGTACATGCACTCCAGAAGTGTGAGTGACATAACAGTGTTCTCTTTCATACAAACATGAAGCCTGTCAACAATGACAATGGAATACATCTTGGATGTGAGAGATAGTGACAACCTCTTGAGGAACTCCTCATGTTGATTGGTCATAGTTTTGGAGACTGGGGTTTTGTGATTTTGAAGTAGGAAGGGGTCCTTCCTCAACTTTGTTCCACCTCAGGAACTAAAGCACATGGAGCTAGATTAGATCCTGTAGATTTGAAAGACAGTGGCAGCACTGTGAGATCACAATACAATTCATCACTCCCATTTAGCGGTGACACCCAGTTCCAGTACATCATGCATCCATCCATCTTTACACATTAGCACAAGTTGTCACACATCAGATTTCTGTGTCTAACTTGATTAAAGACATAGCAATACTTATGACACAGAGGATTCTGCACAATAATTGGTTTCAGGAACGTCATTGAATTCCTATAGTGTGGAAGCAGGACATTCAGCCCATCGAATCCACGCCAACCCTTCCGAAGAGCATCCCACCCAGGCCCACCCTACAAATAGATCATAGAATCCCTACAGTGTGGAAACAGGCCCTTCGGCCCAACAAGTCCACACCGACCCTCAGTGCATCCCACCCAAAACCCATCCCCCTATACCATTCACTCCTGAACACTGAGCAATTTAGCATGGTCAATCTACCTAACCTTCATGCTTTTGGACTGCGGGAGGAAACCAGAGCAAACCCACAGAGACAAGGGGAGAATGTGCAAATTCCAAACAGCTTGAGGGTGGAATTGAACCTGGATCCTTGGTGCTGTGAGGCAGCAGTACTAACCGCTGAGCCACCATACAGAAATAAGTTAATATTCTCATTAATTAAAGCTTACTGCTGTTTCTACATGTGCTGTAAGGATAAAAACAGTTTTCCTGGTGGTCTAATGGTTAGGATTAGATGCTGTCACCATCATGGCCTGGACTAAATTCCTGGTAAGGGAGCACTATTAAAGAGCCTTGTGGCACAGTGGTAGCAGTGCTCCTGCCTAAGGTCCAGAAAGCCTGGATTCATGACCTACCTACACTTGAGCTGTGTCATAACATGTCTGAGTAGGTTGATTAGAAAATGTCTTTAAAGGTAAAAATATTATCAAAGACTTTTATTAAAATACAGGAAGGATGGCTAGGTGAGGCAGACATCACTGCATCCGATGCTGTAAATGAAGAAAGTAGTCAGTTGTTGTCATTGATCTGTCCCTCCCATTTGATCTTTGTTACTTCTGCTTAGGTTTTTATTGCAATAGTATCTGCTTATCTGCAATGAGCTATTTGTTGATATCTCCATTGGTGTTGTGCAGAATGTTCTCACTATATCAGCTAATTCCTCAGAGGCAGACATGAATAAGTACCTAAGCAGCAAGTACCTAAGCAGCCCAGCTACCTGATGTACTGTTTGATCTTGACACAGGACTGATTGATCGCTGGCCTAGTCTAAGCTCGATCTCCTCCAGCCCTTCTGTGCAGGTTATGCAAAAATATGATGAATTACAGTTGCAAAGTGTAGCATAATTGTCCAGTAACTAGCTGTTGTATCATGCCTGGGCTTGGAAAAATCTGGTAATGTTAAATCAGGATTAATGAATCACAGTTACTAGTGGTGTACCTCAAGGATCTGTTTTGGGGCCACTGCTGTTTGTCATTTTTATAAATGACCTGGATGAGGGCGTAGAAGGATGGGTTAGTAAATTTGCAGATGACACCAAAGTCGGTGGAGTTGTGGATAGTGCGGAAGGATGTTGCAGGTTACAGAGGGACATAGATAAGCTGCAGAGCTGGGCTGAGAGGTGGCAAATGGAGTTTAATGCGGAAAAGTGTGAGGTGATTCACTTTGGAAGGAGTAACAGGAATACAGAGTACTGGGCTAATGGTAAGATTCTTGGTAGTGTGGATGAGCAGAAAGATCTCGGTGTCCATGTGCATAGATCACTGAAAGTTGCCACCCAGGTTGATAGCGTTGTTAAGAAGGCGTACAGTATGTTAGGTTTTATTGGTAGAGGGATTGAGTTTCGGAGCCATGAGATCATGTTGCAGCTGTACAAAACTCTGGTGCGGCCGCACTTGGAGTATTGCGTACAGTTCTGGTCACCGCATTATAGGAAGGATGTGGAAGCATTGGAAAGGGTGCAGAGGAGATTTACCAGGATGTTGCCTGGTATGGAGGGATGGTCTTATGAGGAAAGGCTGAGGGTCTTGAGGCTGTTTTCGTTAGAGAGAAGAAGGTTAAGAGGTGACTTGATAGAGACATACAAGATGATCAGAGGATTAGATAGGGTGGACAGTGGGAGCCTTTTTCCTCGGATGGTGATGGCTAGCACGAGGGGACATAGCTTTAAATTGAGGGGTGATAGATATAGGACAGATGTCAGAGGTAGGTTCTTTACTCAGAGTAGTAAGGGCGTGGAATGCCCTGCCTGCAGAAATAGTAGACTCGCCCACTTTAAGGGCATTTAAATGGTCATTGGATAAACATATGGATGATAATGGAATAGTTTAGGTTAGATGGGCTTCAGATTGGTTTCACAGGTCGGCGCAACATCGAGGGCCGAAGGGCCTGTACTGCGCTGTAATGTTCTATGTTCTATGTTCTATGTTCAGTGCTCCTGGGGGAGCAGACATTACTGTACGGAATCCTAAATTGACGATCGCATTCTATCCACACGTTAATGAAACTCCTTTTCTTGTTGTCGGTGGTTTTGATGTGATGGGGGTGATCTATTAATGTGTGCAGCAAAACAATGCTCTAGTTTCTAGTTATCAGGCTTTATGACTCTCTCTATTGATGCTGAGCCTGGGATTGGCTTAGAAATCTGTTGCTCCCTTGAATATCGTAGGTGTCTAAAGACTGTCTTCTTTTGGCCTTGACAGGAAGAGTCAAAACTGTCTCTTTGTCCTATCTCAGTTTTTTTAGTCTGCTAAGGATGAGTGTCTTATGCAGTCATTCAGTTTTTATTACACCCCCTATCATTGGCTGTATAGTAAGAAGCATGGTTACATGTATTTACCTAACCCAGTGACCCAGCAGCCTTGACTCGGGTGCTAATGGAACATTTACAGGATCCAATGGAAAATAATGGAAATTCACCATTAAGGCCCAGCAAAGGGCACTTAACCAATGTTTAATCGTGCACTTTATTAGATAATTGGCAAATAAATTATAGATGCTAATAAAATTGTATATCCAAAGCAAAGAATTCTATTGGTGCCTTTTTGTCACTTGTTTGTCCCACAAATCCCCATGGACTGTAGCAATGGAGAAAAAATATCCCTCAAAGCAGTCATCAAACAGCTGTATTGGTGTCAATGACTACAGACAAACATTTACACCAGTTAACATTTTAGATCCCATTTCCCTATGTGGTATTGATTGCAGTTTTAAGTTCTCCGATAATTCAAGTTTCTGACATTTGTTTCTTCCTAATTCATATTGATCTTTAGGTACGAGTTAATGTTTGCAATAGTTTGACAAGGAGGGACGGGGACATACTAGGTTCCAATCAGTTGAGTTAAGAGAAGAGTCCAATATCCCTGGGGATCAGTGAATTCAGCCTCTAAACCGAACGTGACCAAAACTATGCTCGGATATCTGTACTTTTAATGAAATGAATAATATTCTGTGAACACAGTGAAAAGCTTCTGCAATTATGTGGCTCAATTTTCACATTTTGAAAGTTGTTTCTGAGTGCATAGTATTACCTTAAGTCGCTTTTTCATATTTGAATAAGACTTATGTTTCAAACTTCCTTTTATTTGACCTTCTGCTACCCATCAGTAGCTCTAGCAATGACCTATCTAACAACATGTGTGATATTGCACAGTCATTTCCCTCACTTGGATCACAGTTGTAAGTAGTTCCTTATTTTCAATGTTCAAGTCCCCCCATAGCCTCTTCCTTCCTCCAACCCCACAGACCTCACAGGTATCAGTGCTTATCTAATCCTGGCTTCTAGCATGTGTCTGATTTTGATTACTCTGGTCTTGGTGTCTGTGCCGTCAGCTGAGACGGCCCTAAATCCTGGAATTTCCTCATTAACTGCCCTGCCCCTTTATTTCTTTTCCATTTTAATGTACTATTCATCTAATTGTATGTTCTTTTTGGACCAATCTAATTTTTTATGGTACAGTGTTAAATTTTATTTTATAAACTTGGCATGTGTTATTATGTAAATACAAACTGTTCATGTTATTCAATATTTACTTTAAGTAATCTCTCTAAAAGCCTTCAAAGGAATATTGTGATGTGGTTCAGGATGTTAGTTGTTTGTAGGTGGGGGCATTAACAGAGGATTCACTTGTGCCTCCATAAATAGGTATAGGTTGAACATTTGATGGTTGGGTTTGGAAGTTTATGCTTGTAATATGTTTCTCTGTGAATAAATGTTTGTAGAAGTGTGTAAAAGTTGGTTTCAGCTTTACCCTTCCACCACCTGGCTTTCTGGCATCACAAGGTTTAAAACTGTTCTTCAGTGGCTAACTTGCCTTGGGTGAAGCCTGATAGTGGACATTTTTTGAATGTTTGCTTTCTATTTCAGGTCGGCTTTCACATGTCCTACTACTGTCATCGACAGTGGCCCTTCTTGGTGGACTGATTTTTGGATATGAATTAGGAATCATCTCGGGTGCGCTACTGCAGCTCAAGGAAGTCTTCAGCCTTAGCTGCTTGCAGCAAGAAATATTGGTCAGCGCCCTTTTGATTGGGGCTTTCGTTGCCTCATTGATTGGAGGGATAGCTGTTGATTATCATGGACGAAGAAACTCAATCATTTTGAGTGCAGTACTACTGTGTGTTGGAAGCAGTATTCTCTTACTGTCCTCCTCATTCGTGCTGCTAGTGAGTGGCCGGCTGACTGTAGGATTTGCCATGTCCATTTCGTCCACAGCCTGTTGTATATATGTTTCTGAAATCGTTAGCCCCCATCATAGAGGCAAGTTGGTGTCTCTTTATGAAGTTGGTGTCACAGTTGGCATCTTGAGTGCCTATGCATTAAATTACATTTGGGCAGATATAAGAAATGGATGGAAGTACATGTTTGGTCTGGTCATTGGCCCAGCGGCTTTCCAAGGAGTCAGCGTTCTTCTCCTTCCCTCAACCATTGAGAGGGTCAGAAGTCAAGGTGATGATTCACAGAAAATTCTGCTACAATTACACAATGGAGAGCATGATGACTCAGACTCCGAGGATGTTAATTCAACACAAGGAATCAACCAACATTACAGTTACCTTGATTTATTTCGATCTAAAGACAACATGAGAGCCAGATTACTGGTGGCACTGGGTTTAGTGTTGTCCCAGCAGCTCACTGGCCAGCCCAATGTGCTCTACTATGCCTCGACCATCTTTAGGTCAGTAGGATTTCAGAGCAATGCTTCAGCAGTACTAGCTTCAGTCGGACTGGGAATAGTCAAAGTTGTTACTACTGTAGTAGCCATGATATGTACTGATAAAGTTGGAAGACGAACATTGCTAATCGCTGGCTCTGTTGTAATGTCAGTGTCAGTCACTGTGATTGCGTTCTCAAGCCAGAACATTACAATGGAATCCCATATGAGCTGCAGAGTAAACACCCGGGTTAATGACTCATACCATATGTTAAATTCTAGTACAGTTTACTCCAAACCAGTTCTTTGGAAACCAAATCCAACATTCAGCAAGGAAAGTTCAATGAAAGGCCAGGGCAAACAGCAAGCAGCAAATGATGAAGGAATGAACAGCAGTTCACTCAGTGAGCCAGCAATTCGATTTGTCAGTGCAGTGGACTCTTTAAATAATACTTCACATGAAGATTTCCATTTGAGGAAAATAAGGAGTCACCTGACACAGCCAGCAGTAAGCTCTGCTCACATCTCCAAACATTTAGCCTTAAATTGGATTACACTGCTTTTCATGATGGCCTTTGTCAGCGCATATTCATTTGGGTTTGGTCCAAGTAAGTGCACTGCTATTTCATCTGTTTCAATAGTTAGAGGAGGGTGTTGTTAAATAACAGAATAAATAAATGTAGAACTTGTGGGAAATGACACAGCAGAGAGGGGTTTGTCTGTAAAACACACCAGAGATGGTAAAGAGATAGTAGGAACTGCCGATGCTGGAGAATCTGAGATAACAAGGTGTAGAGCTGGATGAACACAGCAGGCCCCCTCCCCTCACCCTCAATGTCCTCGTCCCAACCACACCCTCCCCCCGCCCCCCCCCCCCCCCACCCTCAACGCCCTTGCCACGACCTCCCCCATCCCTCCGCCCTCTGAAGAAGGGTCCAGACCTGAAACATCAGCTTTCCTGCTCCTCTGATGCTGCTTGGCCTGCTGTGTTCATCCAGCTCTACACCTTGTTATCTCAGAGATGGTAAAGTCCTGTACTATTGAAAATGTTTACAAGGAATGTTAGCTCAGATGAACCACATCAAATTGTAGTCTCTCAATATCATTGCAACTTTGTAGGAATTGTTGAAGCTCAGGCTTTTTACTGACATGACTACACCATGTGTTGAAACATCAATTCTACCTCAGCTGTCAGCCCAAAGGCAGATCTGACACATAATACCATTCCCCAACCACGGAGTCAGGCAAGGAGTCTACAGCCCAGTTGAAACAGGGATTCCATGCCATGCTGTACCTCTAATCTGATCCACAATGGCTTTCTAGTCAACTGGTACCCAAAGAGCTTGTATTCCTGTGGCTACATGCTTGTTGCAGTCTGGTGCTCTGGCTATGGATGATGATGTTAGATACTCCAGTTTCTTTCTATCACAATGCTGAGCAGGAACCTTTCTCACTCTTAACCTTTGTTATTGACATATGTTGGAAAGCTTTGCAAATTTGATACTCAGTCTGTTATAAACACACCCTCCTTGGCCATCATGTCCCAGCATGGGATTTAAACCCAGAGCTTTTGGTTCAGAGGTAGGGACTAACCCAAATGCCATACACTGAGCTACAAGACTTCTGAAATATTTTAGAAACTGAAGTAACATTTTAGCTTGATATTGATTTACTGTCTTCCTTTTCCCTTCTGCAGTGAAGAATTTTGAAAGACTTGCATTTATCTAAAGCTTTTCATAATCATTGGACATCTCAAAGCAGTTTATATCAAAGATACTTCATTGGTTGTAAGTGATTGCCCAGTTCAGACAGAGATGAAGAGGAATTTTTTTTCTTAGAGGGTAGTAAATCTATGAAATTCTTTACCAAAGAGGCTGATTCATTAAATATATACAAGACTTAGAAAGATTATAATCAATAAAGGAATCAAAATTATGGCAATGAGGCAGGAGGTAGAGTTGAGGATTATTAGATCAGCCATGATTGCACTTAATGACAGAGCAGACTGATTGGGTTGAATGGCCTAATTTTGCTCCAATGTCTTATGATCTTATGAAGGCAACTCTTTAAAAGCGTCTAGATGACAGTAACTTCTTTCCCTTGCTATTCCTTATTTCCCTCCAAACTGATTCCAAATTACAAACTATTCTATTTATTTCACCACTCACCACATCATTGATATCTTCTTTTGCCAGCAAAGCAACCATACATCCTTTTCCTTTCTGCCTATTCTTATAAAATTTTGAATACTCCTGAATATTGAGCTCTTATTCTTGGTCACCTTGCAATCCATAATAGCTATTGTCATATTAATTTATTTATGTTTGTGCTGTTGACTTGTCTGACTTGTTATAGATGCTGCATGCATTCATATCAAGTTTTGATTTTTTTACCCTTATTATTTCCTCTGGTTCTAATTTTTGTTGCACTCCTCTGTGTATATTTTTTACCCATTCCTGTCACACTATGATTCTCATTCAGCTCTTCAGTACCCTGACCCTCGGCTCCCTCATTTCTTTTAGATTTTTAAACTGCCTTCGATTTAACCTTGCCGCCAACCAGTTAATTTAAAGCTCTATTGACGACCCCTAGACACTGGTCTCGGAATGGTTCAAAAGAAGCCATCTAATTGGAACAGCTCTCTCTTTCTGCAGCACTGATAGCAGTGCCCCTTGAGTTCGAACCCAAATTCTCCCACAGCAATCTTTGACCAAACCATTTACCTCTAATCTTATTTACTCTACGCCAATTTGCACACGGTTGAGGCAGTAATCTGGAGACTATTAACTTGATGATTCTGCTTTTCAGTTTATCCCTGAGGTGCTCATAATTTTTCAGCAGACCTTCTTTCCTGGTTCTTCCTATTGTCCTAACATGGATCATAACACCAGATCCTTCCCCTCCAACTCAAAGTTCTTTCCAGCCAGAAGAGAGATCCTGAATGTTGGCACCAGGTTGGAATGGCCACCTTGGGATTCTGTCTTGGCGGCAGAGAACAATATATATTCCCTGACTATACAATCTATTATTAAGATTGCATTTCTCTTTTCTCCCCCCACTTGAATGGTGCTCTGCACCACGATACTGTCTGTAGTCTGTTCGCTTGTCCATGCTGGGAGCAAGAACCTTGTACCCGTCGGAAAAGGGCACTGACTGAGTGTCCTCCCAAACTTAGCTCTGAATCCCCTTATCTGCCTCAGAGAGCAGCTGTAGGATTATGGTGACTTTATCCTTACCTACCTGTCTCACTCACAGTTATGCCTTCTTGCCCCTGACCTTGGATATAAATTTGATTATAATTAATCTAAGGGGTGTGACTGGCTCCTGAAACACAGTAACAAAAACAGAAGTATTTATGTGGGACCTGATGTTCGCCAGTGTGATCCATGGCAACCGTATTGGCGGCAAATGTTGGC